ATGATACCCTTTTGTTAGTAGTGTCAAGGTTTGTATTTTGTTTTCGATTCCGTTTGTGGTCTAACGTCCACCATCTCTCTTACTAAAGGACAAAATGGTCATTAAGTCTGTTATTTTACTATTTTTTTAATATTTTTTTTCTTATCGTAACTCCTCATCTTCTTCGATTATCATCAAGAACATGAACGAAGACTCAGATCAAGATTAAAAAACTCTTAAATCAAAAATGAGAAAGGGAGAGGATATAGAGATGTGATGTTACGCTTTTGTTGAATTAAAAAATTGGAGATATTCTATTTTTTAATGATGTGCTTACGTGTACGGCCGCACATATATTAGTTTTTTTATAGTATGTAATATTCAAAATCTTAGTATAATTAAGTAAATTAATTTTCATCTCATCCTCCTCTAAAAAATGTATAATTAGTTAATTAGTAAAATCATATATATTCTTATATTATATGAATTCTAATTCCATCACCAAAAAAAGCATATATCAGTAGTCATTAATCTCAAACATCTATTTGTATCTTCTCTTTGTTGGTTCTTGTATGTTTTAGATGTTGTTGACATTAACATGAATCGAACAAGTAGAAAAAGGTCGCAATTGTACTTTACTCACTCACATATATATATATATATATATATATATATATATATATAGGGGAGCGTTCAAATAAAAACCACCTAATTTGTACAAACCGTAGAAACTTTATTCAACTAATCATAATTTTTCATTTTGTTCATTTTTTTGTAATTATGAGAGGTTGATTAATCATTTTTATTGTAGATGATGTTAATCAAGGATATTATCATCTTCATTATTTTAATTTTAGAGAAATACATGAAACAGTTTCAATAAGTAGTATATGAAACAATTTCATAACCATATATGAAACAACTTCATCAAAAAAATATTATATGAAACAATTTCACAAGATTAAACAATTTCATGAAAAATTTTCATAAGATTAAACAATGAAATCGACGAATGAGAGTAGTTTTTACGGTTTTTACAAATTGGAGTGGTTTTCATTTGATCGCTCCTCTATATATATATATATGTATATATATATATATATACTATATATACATATATATACATATATATATATGTGATTAGAACGATCAATAAGTTCTTCTTGAAACAACACACGCAAACACAATTATACACAAACATCAGCTTCCATCATCGTTGTCTCCCCCGACCTGCAACACCTCTCCCTTCGTTGTCCGGCAGCAATACCTTCCCTCCGCCCCCCTTGATCACCCCTCGTTCTTGGTCCCAAGATTGGTGATGGGTTTTGGGGATGGGTGATGGTGATGGTGATGGGTCATCTTCATCGAAATGTTCCAAACAAATCTCTGGACCTTAACTGCTTAACATACTTACAACCATCCCCATAACAGGTGCTATAGAGGTAACACATGCGAAGATATCTATGTTGTTTTTTTATTTTTCATTTGGTTATTTTAAAGAATTGAAGGCATATGGTTTAAATTGGTTGAAAAATGCAACAGTTGTGATTAATGAGTGTGGGGTGTTTGATAATTGCTGAATGGTTTTGTGTAGAATAATTAAGTGGTCAGAATGATTAAAAGGTTACCATGATATAGTGCAAAATGAAATATAATTGTTTGATAATTTTGTACAATGAAATTATGGCTCTTAATGGTTAAGAGAGATCAATGATACAAAATCATTCAAAAAGTTTTAGAACCATTAAGAGACATACTTTTTTTTTGCCAAACAAAATTCACCTATTAACTATTCAGATGTTGCCACTTATTAAAACTATTAAGAGGTAAACAAACAACCCCTAATCAAATATCACCAATGGAATGCTAATTCTTATTCTAATATTTCTACATTTTCATTTTCATTCTTTAAATTAAACCAAACACCCTTTTATTCTATGACTTAAATGATATATACCATCTGAGATGGACCTACATTTTTTTAAGTGGTAACACCATTTGATTATAAAAGAAAGATATATAGATATTTTTCATAAAATCATTATTGGTTTGTTAGTTAATTCATTATTTTTTATATGAGAGTCATGTGTTCAAGTCATTTATGCAAATAAAATTTCAGAAACATGATATATCTGAAACTAAAAGCTAATAAAATGATACTAACGGGATTTGAACTCGAGTCTAATTTGGTGATAAAAAAGTCTTGCAAACCAACTCTACCAAAAGAAACTTATGTTCTTATTGTAGTTTTATATATATAGTATATGCTGACACTTTTCACAACCCTATAATTTTTTACACTACGACAGAGGAACAAAATTGTAGCTCGTATCACCATGTATTATGCATATGCATTACACTGGGTCTGTCCGTATATATTGTGGTTTATTGATTTGATAAAATACAATTTTTTATCTTACATTTTTAAGATAAAGCAATTTTACTAAACGCATTTAGTTTTCATTATTGAACAAAAATCATAGCATTGTTCAATAAAAATACACTTTTATTAATATTTAATTTGGTCCCAACCAAGATGCATAGAACAATTGATTTCGAAATGATATATATATATATATATATATATATATGGTTGGGTTCACGTGAGACCAGCCTGTTTTCGTGAGACCACGTTTTTACACGTAAACTTCACAGCAAAAACACTGTGAAGGTTTTAAAAAGTCACATTCACAGCATTTTTGCTGTGAAGTTTCAAGTGTAAAATGCTGGTCTCACGGGTCTCACGAAAACAGGCTGGTCTCACATGATCCCAAGTCTATATATATATGGGTACGTTCAAATGAAAACCGTGCATTTCTAAGAAATTGTGTAAACCAATTTCGACCAATAGAAAATTTTTATTTTTTCTAATTAAATTTAATCAATAAGGGTATTTCGGTCAATTACAATATTTTCTATTAAATATGAAAGTTATTAATAAATCTTAATTAAGAAAACGTAATAAAGAAAATTGTATAAATGGTAACATTTAAATATTTAATTATATTATAATATTAAAAATTTGAATTTGATATATTGTTATGAGATTGAATCTCCAAACGGTCTTGAATATTGTATTGCATTATGGAATGAAATCGTAAATTATGGTTCAAATTAAAAAAAAATGTTAATGAAACAGGTTTTATGAAGGTGAAACTGGTTCATATTGTAATTGATTCATGAGTAATATGAAATCGTTTCATGGTGAACCACGTTTCAGTGATGGTGTAGTTGATCAATTTAGTAGAAAAAACAGAACATGAAACAAGTGCATAATTTATTTGGTTCGTCATGAAATAATTGCATGATGAAACGGGTACATGATGAATCTGCTTCGGGATCTTGAAAATTGTAATATGCTCCAGAATTTTGAAGATTGTAAGGATTAAAGAAAAGAATGCATCAAATCATGAGTGAAATAATTAAAATTAATTTACATGAAACAGGTTTCATGAAGGTGAAACTGGTTCATGTTGTAATTGAACAATGAGTGGTAAACTGCTTTCATGATGAAACTCGTTTCAGTGATGGTGTAGGTGATCTATTCAGTAGATGAAATGAAAAATGAAACGGGTGCATAATGTAGACGGGGTCGTCATGAAATAATTGCAAGATGGAAAATAAATTAGTTTCATTAATAATAATAAATGTTAACGTAAAAATAATAAATTACTTTACAAAAAATAAATTAGTTTCATTAATAATATTTGGTTTTACCCTTTTGCCCTTATCGGTATTATAAAATGTATTTTCAATTTTTTTTTTCAATTTTCTTAAATAACCTTGATTAATCTTAACCATTGATCAAGAAAATGGATGGATGAAATTGGTTTATACGGTTTACACAAATGGAGACGGTTTTTATTTGATCGCTTATGTATGTATGTATGTATGTATGTATGTATGTATGTATGTATGTATGTATGTATGTATCATTTCGAAATCAATTATCAGTTTTCAATTCATTTTTGGATCAATCTTGTTAAAAATAGTATAATTGATGAACCTGAATATTTATTAAATTTTCTTTTGTAAAATAATACAGATTTTGAAACACAATAATTAAACTAAAAATATTTGTTTATTAGGCTTTAATTAGGTTGTCAAATTCCAATCGTCCACATAATATATAAACATCTACACCTATCATTGAGATGTTATTTTTATATCCCAAGTTTATTTAAAAGCAACATAAAACGCCAATCTCCAGACAAATAATACTTATATATGATATATTATAAAGTATTTAACAAAAACTTTTAAAAACCATGTATTTTTATGCACGAAGTACTGTTTATTAATACATATTATTTAAAATTCAAGATTACAAGTAAGTTATCCGTAAGTACAACTTATTAAAGCTATATCTTTGAATTCGTGTAACTAACTACAAATAAACATAATCAAATATAGTATAAACATCTCATTTTAAATATAAAAAATCTTAAATATAATTATGATAATCATTGAGTTCTAACAGAATATTTAATGATTATCTTTATAAAAGATTATATTATTAAAACTAAATTAAATTACTTCGTTACGTTAAATTAAATTATAATAAAAAATTTGAATTAAAAAAATTACAAAAAATTAAAACTTTTAAATAGTTAATTTGATAATAATATTGATATATTTTTTTTCAAAATTTTATAATATTTTCAAATCTATATCTTATTCAAAAATAAAAATATTATCGTTTTTCTCAAAACCACATAAAACTGTATTATATCAACATAGATAAAAAACAAAATAAAACATTAAAATCAAAATGTGTCTCGATGCATTGCACGAGTATACCCCTAATATCGAAATTATATTTAGGATACTTTCTTAATTAAGAAAAAGTCTAAAAATGTTAAGCTGTCTTCTAGTGAAAAATAGATCCACCAGTAAAGATGCCCATCGCTTTTCTCACTTACAAGACTTCTTTTCAAACCTTATATAAACCCTAATTACACATCCATCTCTTCAGTATACAACCAAATATCAAAGCAAGCCTCTCGCTTTTGCCCCCTTCAATGGCTTCTATGATTCCGATATCCATCGCAAAGATCCATGTTTTCCCATCTTCGATGGTCGTCTCCGGCGATACAACGGTTTTGTCCAGCTTTCGGAAGCTGCCTATGGTTTCTACAAACAGAACAACTAAAACTACAATCGTTAATGCAGCCACCAGTTCATCGACGATTGGTCAATCTCCACTACGGAAAGAAATGGCAGGTGATCAGAAACTTGTGGCGTGGACTAGTGTTCGGCAAGAGCGATGGGAAGGCGAGCTTGTTGTCGAAGGAGAAATACCTAAATGGCTGGTATGATATGACCATATATGAAATAAAATAAAGGGGTGATGACACCTCGCATAGTCTTGTCTGACTGTTGTGCTCTAATTTTCATGCAGAATGGAACCTACTTGAGAAACGGACCAGGTCTATGGCACGTCGGCGACTACGATTTCCGCCACCTCTTTGATGGTTACGCCACCCTCGTCCGCCTCCACTTCGACAACGGCCACCTCATAATGGGTCACCGGCAAATTGAATCCGACGCCTATAAAGCAGCAAAAAAGAACAATAAACTTTGTTACCGTGAATTTTCTGAAGTCCCTAAGCACGGCAATTTCCTAGCCTACATCGGCGACCTAGCCAACCTCTTTTCCGGTGCATCATTGACCGATAATGCTAACACCGGCGTGGCAAAATTAGCCGATGGTCGGGTTGTTTGTTTGACAGAAACCATCAAAGGGTCGATCGTGATCGACCCAAATACGTTGGATACGTTAGAGAAGTTCGAGTATAGTGACTCTTGGGGTGGATTGATCCACTCAGCACACCCCATAGTTACCGACTCAGAATTCATAACATTGTTGCCGGATTTGTTGAACCCTGGTTATACGGTGGTAAGGATGGAATCTGGTACGAATGAGAGGAAGATGATCGGCCGGGTTGACTGTCGGGGTGGACCATCTCCAGGGTGGGTGCACTCATTTCCGGTGACTGAACATTATGTGATTGTGCCGGAGATGCCATTGAGGTATTGTGCCCAGAATTTGTTGAAGGCTGAACCTACACCGCTGTATAAATTCAGATGGTATCCTGAATCTAAAGGGTTTATGCATGTTATGTGCAAAGCCAGTGGCAAAATTGTAAGCTAGCTCTCTCTCTCTCTCTACAGAATGACATTTTATACAACGAATTAAATGAGTTATATACATATTAAGAATTGTTGAAAATTTAAAGGTGGCAAGCGTGGAAGTTCCTTTGTTTGTAACATTTCATTTCATCAATGCGTACGAAGAGAAAGATGAACAAGGAAGGATCACCGGAGTGATTGCCGACTGCTGTGAGCATTATGCCGATACCACCATCCTTGACAATCTCCGCCTTCAGAACCTCCGTTCGTGGTCTGGCGAAGACGTCCTACCTGACGCTAGGTATGTTGCATTTTTGGATTTTATTTATATAGCTAGCTTTGAATTGGTGGTATCTTTTATTAGAAAATTTGTTTATTTAAAATCAAATAAATATATATGATGATTGTAGGGTTGGGAGATTTAGGATACCACTGGATGGAAGTGAAAATGGAGAGTTATATGCAGCCTTGAATCCAGAAGAACATGGAAGAGGGATGGATATGTGCAGCATCAACCCTTCTTTTCTAGGGAAACCCTATCGATATGCTTATGCTTGTGGTGCTCAACGCCCTTGTAATTTTCCCAACACCCTCACTAAGGCAAGCCATTCCAACATTTACATATACATATACATATACATATACATATACATATACATATACATATACATATACATATATTCGTTTCATGATTCCACTTTTAAAATCTTGATTTACAGATAGACTTAATAGACGGGAAGGCAAAAAACTGGTACGACGAGGGTGCAGTTCCCTCTGAACCATTTTTCGTGGCTCGTCCTGGTGCAACCGAGGAAGATGATGGTGAGTTTGTATGAATGATCAGTTTGCCATTGGAACATCTACTATTAGCACAATTTCCCCCCAACATCATGAACAAACGATAAAATTGTTAGCATAATATCAAGGTTTTCATAAACAGTATTCATTGTGAATGTATGATTATTATGTCGATGGTTTATGTCTGCAGGAGTGGTGATATCAATGATAAGTGACAAAAATGGAGAAGGATACGCGCTCATCTTAGACGGATCAACATTTGAAGAAATCGCAAGAGCAAAATTTCCATACGGGCTCCCATACGGACTTCATGGATGCTGGGTTCCAAAGACTTAGGTCCAGATGGTTTTAAAAAACCAGGTAGTTGCAGTAGCATATCTAGTCAAGAGTATTGAGTGCGAGTGCATGAGCGTGTATGTGTGTGCGTGTATACTGTAATTTTTTGTTTACAAAAACTCGATTTTTATGTACAAATTCTCCACTGATGTCGTTGAAAAGGGTCATCAAATTCCTCTATCTCATGAAAATTACAAAATTTGATTCGACTTGTAACATCTCAAAACAGATCAAAGTAAGTTTAAAGAACTCCACGCGCAATATGAATTTCTGTTCTCAGAATGTAACATTCTAAAACTAGATCAACGAGTTTATTCCTAGAGAAAATAAGTTTTCATATTGATAATACAACTCTAGGGTAGAGTTCATACAAAATTGTACAAATGCAGTATGATTCTTATCTGAATTTCCAAATGCAGAGCTGTGGCTATCTTCTTTAATCATTTCTGGTCGGTATATACAGCATCAACATCGTCAAGATCGAGTAAACTTGACATAAGTTTCTTGTTTAACTCCATTGCCTCATCGTCCACCTGCAATTTACCAATAAATTAGTGTCATTGCCTCTTCAATTCGGTAGCGATTGTGCATTAGTCATGACTCTACCCTCTGGGATTGAGGCAAGGTATGCGACATCATATCGACCCTACCTCTGTGTGGGATATACCGAGTTCATTTGGTTTGGTTTTATAGATTTGAGTGGATGCCTCTTCAAGAATCAGTTCACCAGTATTTGAAGCTTTTCAAAACCATTTTCTTAATTTGTTTTTTATCATGTGTAAAAGTTTCCAAATTGGTTGTCTTCAAATTCGTTCTATACTTTAAAGAATTAAAGTCGACTCCTTTTAGGTTGGCATGTGACTTACAGGACTTGTTACTTTTATATATGTTATGGGTTCGGACTAATTTTCTAATTATAGGAAGTGCCCGATAATCTACGACCACTTCATGATATTTCTAAAATAATCTTTATAATGACTTGCATTTTGGACTTGCGAAGAAAAGAGATGGAAAAACTACCAGCATGATAAGATGTAGATACATAATGTCTAATTGATAGTAGTATTAGCATACCTCAATCAGGCTCAATGGAAGTAATTCATATCCATTATCGGGTTCGAAACTAATTCCTTCCTCACGCAGCTTCGATAATATTTCTACATAATTGTCCGATGAGCTTACAATTTTATAGTATCTACAAGAATGAAATAACATAAAATTTATGTTGGAGTTATGAAATGGCAAAATGAATGAATATGAGATTACAGTATATTTAAACCAAAATAGATCTTTATTTAGGCAGATAGATATATATACTTCTCAGACTTATCTTCTTCGGTATCATCTTCATCAATGAAAGGTTCAATGACATCATCAGCACCAGCATCTAAAGCTATGGTAAGTAGCTGGTCCCTATCAGCATCAGTAACTTTTACATTCACAACTCGAGCTCGTTTGAACTTAAACATAATAGATCCAGGATCAGCCGTTTTTCCACCACAATCCTTGACGACTTCTCTAACTGCCGCAATCGACCTGTTGATTTTATCCGTTGAAACCTCAACTATTATACCAACTCCACCATAACCATATACCTGAGGTTAAAAAACAGGCGCCAATGAAGAAGTTACCCAAGACTCGTATAACTTGATCCTAAAAACAGAAAACAAACAAAAAGAAGTCAATTCATTACCTCGTACACTTTCTCAATGTATGCTTCTTGGCCCTTATCTGAAGCTCTCTTGATGTTCCTCTCTAAGATTTCCTTTGGCACATCAAGCTCCTTAGCTTTCTCAAGGATAGCCGCAAGAGCTGTATTTGATACTGGACTTGGACCACCTTTCTTGACACTATATTTTAAAGAAGATCAAGTAAGGGTCTGTTAGCTTAATGAGACACACAACTTATTCGTCAGCTATAAATGACTGATTGGTAGTGGCTTAATGATAGAGAAAGTGGCTTATTCAGTAAGTTCCTAGGGGGAGCTTTATGCAGAAAGCCAAGTTTTTTCTAAACCTACCCCTCCCGATTAAAAAATACGCTCCTTCCATCTATGAAGAAACCCTCCCAAACATAACCTTCCAAGTCTCGGACAGATTAATCCACACAGACAACTTTATTAATACAGGACTTAAACAGCCCCTAATTCGACATCAGACTGAGATTAATGTATATTTTAAGCAGAATTATCAGAGGGCCTTAATTGCTCTTGGAAGTTGGGAATGTGTGAAAGCAGTTTTAACTCAAATGTGAAGCATTCAAAGACTTATGCACAAGCAAAAGAATATGTTTCCATGCTCCAAGAGTACATAGCTAAAAAATTCAAAGCACTTACGCAGATACAACTTCCTTCCCGACTTTTGCATAGAGCTTGGCCTTCTTAGCATCTTGGGCCCCCTGCATTTAGGCCTAATAATGAATGCAAAAACGACATGATTAAGTAATAAAAAACCTTACTCCAACTAACATCTTCGTGCTCTATCATTATCTCTCTTATGTAAGATAATTATTTAACATCATTTCCATGTAACATGGTCTAAAGTTAGGAAATAATTAAGCTAAGAAAATCAATAAATATGGATTCCAAATTCACATCTTGTTCGTACTACAGGCTCAATAAGAAGCGAGTGTCACAGTTGAAAATAGAAAGGAGCATAAGAAACTTGACAATTCTCAACAGAGAAGTGAGAGATATGTTTACTACTTTCAATCGATAACACTTTTTGATGAAATGAATGAAGAAACCTTCAATGATTTCCGTGCCCATGCCCTTCAATTTGGAGGTTGTTTATAGTTCATTACATGAACTCTATTCGGTTTAATTTGTTACAATGCATCCCTGTAATTGAGCATTTCATGTGATTTACATGCTCAAAATGACGGAATCGTCTAGAAATGGGTATTACTGTCTTTGGTATCGGTTCAATGTAAAATTATGCTAAAACGGTATATAAATGGTTTAAGGGTGACGCTTTGTGAATTCAGGAACCAATTGCTAGTAACGTTACAACAGCACATGAGGCAAACTTTAGGTGAAGACACACTCCTAGGAAGATAGGGATATATGGAAGAACAACTCTAATGTAACAGCAGAAATATCGGTCACACAGACAACAACTTTTGCATAGCCGAAATACTGAAAGGAGCAGCTGGAATACAGAGAGGGGGAGCTACTGTAATACGCAAAGGGAAGAAGGAATTTATAGCCCCTATAGCACACACATAAACAGTTAAACACACACCACGGGAATTCAGGCACACACACATAGATTCACACAAAGGAGGAGATCAGGAGATCAGGGAAGCAGGGGCGGACCTACTAATGGCTGAGTGGGTCCTGTGCACCCGCTCGCTTGATTATCGCAAGAGAAAAAAAATGGAACAACTTGAAGGTGCACCCGCTTAATTATGAGGGTGCCCTTAAATAATTATAAACCAAAATTATAACAAGAAGTTGAATTAGGTGAGATGGTTGTTACTTGTTATCCCTTCTCATAAGGGCAGCTCTTCCTAGAAGACGTAGGTTCAAAACCCATTGAAAGCAAATGTTTAGGTTTTGTATCTTTTAAATAGTTCTTGTTATGAATTTTTTTAATAGAAGGGTGTTCTGCAATATTTTGAAACTAAAGGGACTAAACCAAAAAATTCAATAAAACTTACCTAAAAATGAGTTCTTGTTCCTACTTTTGTTCTTTTACAGTTTACTTATCTCTTCTAAATTGTTTTAATTTCATTATTGATTGCCTTATTTACTCTAATTTCTAGGTTTGCTCTAAGGAAACAAAATTGGAAGCCTAGAAAAAAAAAGGTAGAGGACAATCAAAATGATGGAACTTACAAAATCAACTAAAAGAACCAAAAAAGGCCGCTTGTAATGATGGAATTTGGCTATAAGCACGTCGAGTGTAAGTCATAGTTTTGCGTCTTGTTCAAAAGGTCAACATCGATTCACTCAAAAAACTGTATTTTATTCCCCAAATCGTTTACCGGGTCAAATCGCTGTGACTCCTTCCCCCCCCCCCAGCGCGTGTATCAACCATGATTTTACGACTCTTTAATCTACCTTAATTGTGCACCCCCTCAGAAAAATTCCTGGGTCCGCTGCTGTTTGGAAGAAGATTCACGAAGAAGGAACAAACACACATACACATACACATACAAGGGAAATAAAAGTGCACATACAGCACTGGTACATATATATACCCATTTGCAGAATATAAAGTAGATACTATATTGTGGATACGAAAAGATGAGAAGGGACACATGGAGCCAGGACTCCAATTAGCAATCTTCAGCACACGTTCTCAGGGGGGTTTCATTTCAGTATTTTAGTTCAGACTTTGTGTTGAAGTTGTTAGTATGATTTATGAATTTTAGGATTGATTGACAAGCATTGAACTTATATTTACTGTCTTTGCTTTTCTTCAATGTATGAGTAACTGCCTAAGAGATATAGTTGAAATGATGATTTCTGGGTTGCTATTATATTGAAAATGCTGATATTGCACACAGATGCTTAATACCCTCTCTGATGTATGCAATGAGTGAGTAGTTTTATATTGAGGTTCATTGAATGGTGAACTAGCTATACAAATCTGATTTGCTTATCATAACCAATGCAATACGCATGTTCTGTTGTTCATGAGTCGTGCTTATAACTGGTTGATGCTTGACAACCGTTTAGCTGGTTTATTTTTCTAGAATAATGACTAGAATGGTTATTCTAACGTGATGTTTATGAATGAAATGCAATTTACGTTGTGAAGGCAATGCATTAGGCTTGTCTTTGCACCTATTCAGATATTACAGTACTTAAAACACTAATCGGAAGATTGTTGATGAATTATGAGATGAAGTTAGCTAGACATATATATATAAGCAATTAAGCATTAGTGGATTCAACAGACCAGATAACTTAAACTAGCGATCATTTCCGGTTTTATCTAACTTGGAAATCTAATTTGCTTGTCGGTCATTGTGTGGTGTGTTTTGAGGTGTTTATGGATGAGCTTAATGCACTGTTATCCCACCTTAGTTATTGGCCAGCTTAGAGGTAATTATAACAACTAGTTTTAAACGGTCCCAAAATCAATTTGAGTCTCTGCTATCCCATCACCGAGTTGCAGCTTATACACACAATAAAGTGCTTCAAAAGAAAACAGTCAGAACAAAAATGATATCAGTTTCTTGTCAACATGACTGCACAGTCATATTTTTCAAGAAGCACAGTCATGAAAGCTAAAACAAAGATGTTGAATCTATCAGATTATGTATGATTATCTTCTTTATGAACATTAATGAACAGTGCATTCATACCCCATTTAAAGTTAAAACACACATAGCACAATGATTCAAGTCAATTCACTATGATGATCATATCAACCTCTACCCCAAACTGTAGTGTGTAAAAAGTGTGTGAAAGAGAGAAATGCAGATATGATACCCTAGTCCCACGTCTCCAAGAACTCCTATCAGAACTCATCCCTTTCCACAATGACCCTAGAGAGGCCAATATTTGGATTAAGAATATTGACTCTCTATAATAACTGGTAAATAACATTATGATGGGCTGGTTCTCAATTTACACCCTCATTCTAATTTCCAACACCATAATTTAGGGAGATCATTCATCACCCATGCCCAAGAAAACTACCCATGATCATTACAAGGTTTTGCATCTTCATCACTTGGATCAAGTCCCTATGAAATGTGTTTAACGTTTATTTTACAAGATTTCATCTTCATATAGTCATCGTAATAATCAAATATGAATTGCTACGTATGTACTAGTTCTAACATAAGAAACTTCATGTTAACCAAAAAAAACCAAGTGATATCCTTATTCTATCAATCAACATCCATTTTAACTCTTCAAGTTTTAAGAACATGTAGGATACCATGCACTATAAAAACAGCTTTAGATTTTCGCTACGATGCTTCGTCGCAAAAGAACTGCTGATGTGATGCATCATCCAGCACCAAATCAATAGTATAATGAATTAACAATCACCACCATTCAAGCTTCCCCGAAACCCACAGTTACCCAAAAAAAGAGGCTTGATAAGTTCTTACTGGCTCTGTCCCAGAAAGAAAGGGATACACATTGATATTTTGGGTCAAATGTACAATCTTTTCACATTTAAATTTCAATACTTTTTTTGAATGAATTGAATAGCAACAACAAATCCACTATCTCTTCTTAGCATTTGTCATGATTAGATGCAGCTACAAATATTACACAAGAATTGAAGAACTTAAATCAACTTTAAAAGAGGAACTTTCATTCTTTCCCTCTGCAGTCAATGGAGAAATCCATATAAGCAATCACACACAAGCAATAGATGAGCTCTTACCTTTCTGCCTGCAATTTTACAGGACCTTCTCCCCATACAGAGAGGACCGCGGGTCCAAATCTTTCTGACGGAATTCACACTTTGGAGCTCAACTGGAGCAACCCATTTTGCACAAGATGAATACAATGACGAAGAAGATAGATTCTTGTTTAACCTAACAGTCCCTAAACCAAAAACAATACCATTTCAGAAATGGACAATGATAAAAAAGAACTTGAAATCTTATCCAATAATATCAAAGGCACAAAGAAAACCCAGTTGAATTTTGGAAAACAAAATCAGACGAATGAAAGCTTTAAACATCGTAGGAAATGAGAAAAGGAAGAAGGGTTTAACCTCTAATAGAGAAGGAATTGGGGGACTTGAGAGAAACACCAGTCGAGAATCTATACACAAGCGCACCAAAAGCTTTCATTGAAGAACTCATTGAGCTTAAATGGATCACCCTGTATTCCTTTTGATTACAGGCAGATTTCAGACCGAAAGGTTTGAATCGGGAAGCTGCAACGAAGTCGGAAGATGTAACATATTAATATGTCGCCATTTTGGTTGGGTTTTGGGTTTCGGAGGAATTTTATTTGTACCCCTGTAATCTTTGTCGGTTTGCAATAGAGTTGTTCACGGCTGACCGATCCCTAACCGGGTTTTGATAACCACTTTAGATAGGTAAAAATTACATTAAAATGGAATCAACTTTTACATGATTTTTATTTTGCGGAATCACTTTTTAAAATTATCATTTAGAAATTTTTATCAAATTTTTTTGTTTATTTAAGGGTCATGTTGACATCATTCAGATCTTTTGTTAACTAAGATATTCTACATTATATTAATTTTTTATTTTAAAACTAATATTCCACGTCATATTAATTTTTTATTTTAAAACTAATATTTCATATCATATTAATTTTCTATTCTAAAACTAATATTCCACATAATATTAATTTTTTATTTTAAAACTAATATTCCATATCAAATTAATTTTTTATTCTAAAACTAATATTCCACGTAATATTAATTTTTTATTTTAAAACTAATATTCCACGTCATATTTAAAATTACAAAATAATTATAGAAAAATAATTAAAGTTCGTTTTTTTTTTCAAAAAATTCGTTTTTTTTTCAAAAATTATTGTAATAAAATCTATTTTTCATTCCAAGTCTCTTTTTTTTAAATTCAGATATCAAATTGTGAGTAAAGAAGTCCATTTTTGAAAAAATCTTCAATTTGATATCTGAATTTTTTTTTAAACGAGATTTGGAATGAAAAATAGATTTTATTACAAAAAATTTTGAAAAAAAACGAATTTTAGTTATTTTTCTATAATTATTTTGCAATTTTAAATATGACGTGGAATATTAGTTTTAAAATAAAAAATTAATATGGTGTGGAATATCTTACTTGGCAAAAGATCTAGATGATGTCAGCATTAACAGGTCAACCAGACCCTTAAATAACAAAAAGTTTGATAGAGACCCCTAAATGACAATTTTGAAAGTTGGTTTCCCAAAATATGAATTAGGTGAAAGTTGGTTCCATTTTAATGCAATTTTCCCTTTTAGATAAACGAATAGATTCAGACTGACTTGTTAAGATTAACGGATCGACATGAACGATATAAAAACAATTTGGACAAACCCACCAAGCCGGTTAATATTTTTATAATTAATTAACTATTATAATTAATTTCTTATTATCTCATTTGACCATTTCCTTTATCGATGTTTCATATCTTGGTGAAACATTTTTTTGAATTACGACATTGTTATGCATTCATATATATTAGTATGAATTTTGAATTATTTTATATTTTTTCTCTATTTTAGAGAAGACGAAGAATCGTGTAAGAATAAGAGTTAATATGAGAAGCGTAAGAAAGTGATCTGGACCTTTCACTTTTAATCTCACCTCCATCCCCATGAATTACTCTTGATAAGAGAATTGATCCAGTAACTCTGTGCATCTCATTAGTATTGATCTTTGATTATGATTGGTCCAAGGGTGAAGATTCATTCTCACCATAACTTTCATTCTCATCCCAACTCAACCCTTTTAGAGAATCCGTTAAATATGCTTTTAGGAAAGAGATTTGAGGATTAGCGGAAAACAATTGTGGGTAAGGATTAGGGGTGTAAAAAAACGTTAACCTGCAATGCGAACCCAACCCATCCAAACCGTCAAACCGTGAACCTGCCAAACTGCTAATTAGGAGGGTTGAAATTGGGTTACCGTAACTCGACCCAACCCAAACCACCAACCCGCCGCTAATGTATATTATTTCTGTAAAATTGTTTATATATATATATATATATAATATTTATAGCCGTCATAATTTGTTGGTGATTATAGTGTCACCAGGCCATTGAAGTGTAATTGGGAGTAACATCGAGTTCTGAGGGGGTTTTATATTGTGTTCTAATATAAGTCAGGATGTGTGGAGTGCACTTGTTATAAGACAAGTATGACCCTGATGGAAAATTGATCGTAAGGACCGGAGGGGTTCTGGTCGACCTTGTCTCTAGTTGTTAAGGACAGCTTTGAGTCTAGTTGTTAAGGACAACCTTGAGTCTAGTTGTTAAGGGCCAGAGGCTCTGGTTGTTAAAACCAGATGCTCTGATTCCTTGTCGCTGGTTGGTAAGACCAGATGCTCTGGTTCCTTGCTTATGATTGTTAAGACAAGACTTTTCTCTAGCTGGTAAGACTATAGGAGCTCTAGTTTCTTGCTTATGATTGCTAAGACTTGCCTCTGGTTGGTCTTCTTTCTGGCTTCATGACTGGAACTGATAGAATAGTTTTTTAACTGCCCACTACCATTAATGAGCAGCTTTTGTAATTGTCCACTAATTTTAATGTGCAATTTTATAACTGTCCACTATTTTTGATGTGCAGTTTTATAATTGTCCACTACTCCCAAAATTGAGCCATGATTATTTTTTCGGGTTAATTTTTATGATCATAAATAACTTTTATGTTTATATTTTAGACACAGATTTTTGAACAATCCTAATATATTCTCCAGCAAGTTTGCTCTTGTTTTTGTGCCTAAAAACGAAAGTGTTCTCTTGAGTATTATCCCCATATTGAATTTCGTATAACCCAATCATATGGTCGAAATATAAATTCGGAAAGTGATCTCTTATACGATTCTCACGTAATCCGGTTCTTGATCGACCAACCCTTTTTTGGTTCTATACTTTTCCCTTACATAATTTACAACTCAAAAAATATATACATGTATTAGTCCAATTTACAATCCAAATCCCAAACTTAATCAACTAGACCAAGTCCAAAATTAATACAACTAGGTCGGGCGTTTTATGAGATATCCAGTAGTCGATCGCTACGCCCCAATTCCATTTCCCCCTCATTCCCTTAACACAAGTGCACTAAAATGACTAGATCGAGCGTTGTTGTATGATGTCAATGATTGATATGCAGTTTAGTATATGATTTTCTCTCTTGAATAGATGCTCTTGGAAGTTGGAATCGCAAATGCTTAGAATTTAATTTCTGTTTTTTACATAAATTTTTGTTTTCATTGTATAAATGAACATATGAAGTATGTTTCAAACTAGGAGTTGGAATCATAAATTTTTGTTTTCAATGCACACTACCTCAAAATGTCACTTAGGCAACAAATGCAAAATGTTGCCTAAGAGGAGTTTATATGTTGCGTAAGGCTTAGGCAACAAACCCGTGTTGCTTAAGCAGTGTTGCCTTCTCAATGTTGCATAAGAACCAAGGCAACATATGCAAACAGACTATGTTGCCTAAGCGGGCTTCTTAGGCAACACACAAAAGGTTATGTTGCCTTAGTGAAAAACATATGTTGCCTAAGATATCAGCTTAGACAACATAC